CAGACATCGACAAGCAAAAAGGCCGCAAGTTGGATGGATTAATACGAAAGGGCTCTAGTTTGAAGCCGAGCACTTGGCTTTACCATTACCACATCACGTCATCGATCCCGCCCAGCGTCCAGCTCTACTCGACATACAGCGAGGAAAATGTTTTTAGCTTGTATAATGGTCGGAAGCAATGTTGATCGAAAGGGCGTATCGGTTCTATGTATGGGAACCAACGAAATTACACTCGTGCTTACACTAAAAAAAAAGTTGAATACCTTCAGCAAAAAATTGTTTAAAGACATTTTTAACAGCAACCAGATATTTTGTTTATGTAATAACAAAAAGTTTAGTTGCTTTTACAAAATAATTTCTCTACTTTGTAGAGATAAATAATTAGAATTTTGTATCTTTTATATCAATTAAACGATTCACTTCGCATAAAATTACAATTTTGTTCGGTCATTTTAACTAAAATTTTTGTTCGGTACATTTCAATCAAATTTTTGTCTAGTAAATTATTATTATGAATCTAATATTATAAAGAGTTTATTATCTTATTGTAAAATAGTTTATTATATTACAAAGAAGAAATTGATAACGTTTTTTTGTAATTCATTTTTTTTATTATTGTTGCCGCGTTGCAAGAAAATATTTTCCTGAGATTTTCTGCTTTACTATTGTACCTCCGTATATCTTCTAACACGCAATTTGCGTCGTGGATGAAAGAAAGACACATTATCTTTGTAAATATATTATATTAATTTTTTTACAACAGTTATAACATGTTACTGTTTCTTTCATCAGGGACAGTTGAAAAATATATATTTCACATTTACTGTGTAGCGAAAAATGGTGACCCGGTTTGAAACAAAGTTATTATATAATGGCATGTAACGAAAGTCGATGGAAGATTAAATAGAGGATGAAATCATGTAGTCTCAATGCGCTAATTAAAAGCTGCAAAATGCTTGTAAAAATGTTTTGTTTCAGCTTTGCCATCGTAGTATAACTTTGTTCAATATAGACAGTGCATAATATGCTTTTGATGACGAAAATTCAAAAGATTATCTAAATTCAAATTAATATCTTTGTATAAATAAATCTTTGATCTCTGACTATTAATTAAGCGCTAAGAGTCGAGGAAAGTTACGATGGTGAATATGCATGAGTCGTAATGATATTGAATTCCTACATGATTTTCGGTATATCTCTTTCATTATTGCATTAGTATGAAAACCACGCGATAACCACGTATGTGAAATTCAGCACCTCACAGGTTTGCTCTGTTCGCAAGTAACCAATTAAGGAGTTACCGCCAAGTTGACCGAGTTCTGTACTGACTATTTCTTGAACACGATAAACATGTATCTCACTTTACCTTGTAAAATATTTTTTATAGAAAAGTAGAAAATAATCCGCGATGCAATATTGATATAACAATAATACTATATTTAAAATTTTCTCTGTTCACAATTATTTAATGATATATTATGTTATAAATTATTTTATAATTATTTAATAACTATTTTTTATTTTTATTGTAATAAAGTCTATAATATTTGTTTTGAGAAATTTTTTTTTAAATTATCTAATTTTTATAAAAAAATATATTTTTCTTATATTAAAAAAATATATAAATATTGTCTAACGAAATGTTAGTATTTTTTAAAAAAGTTATTATATTTTTTATTACGTTTATTTTTATTCTATTGATAGAATCTCGATAATGACATTAAAAAAAAGTATATAATTTTAAGATTAATTAAAATTTATTATATATAAGATTTAAAATGTTTTATTATTTTCCGTTTTTTAATCACATATTTAAACATATTTTAATTTTAAATTTTTTTAATAAATAGAACACTATGTGTTTAAAATATTAAAAGTTTAAAATTAAAATATGTTTTATTATTAAACGTTTGTTTTGCAAAGATGTTTTAAACATTTTATACACTGTACTTTTTCATAAAAACCTATTTCATAAAAATTATCAGGATACGTGAAATTTCTATTTTGACTAACGATCCTAAATAGCAGGATTGAATTGGTGGAGACGTATAGTACGCGCATGTCGTATAAATCATAGACACTATAATTAGAAGTACCACTTAAATTAAGAACATATATTTTCCTTGCGTTAAGTTATCACATTCCATGAAAATTATAGACACACCCAAGTTAATTTTTAGAAATTGGATATATCGCCATCATCGCCACGATATATATCTTTCAATTTGATAAAAAGCGAGTACACGCGTAACGTTATTCCTTGGAAAAGGTGGACTTTATTTTTGTTTCGAAAAGCAGACTAAATGTATCCGTAGATTAAGAAACGTGATACTCTAAGAGATTACAGATTTCAAGATAAATAGCAGGGTTATTTTTTGTTTTTTATTTCTACTAAAAGCTTTTTTATCCTCAATTAAATCGGAGTTTTGTTTTTCTTAATAGAGTATTTATTTTAAAACCATACTATCATAACATTTTTTCTCTTCCTTCTCTCTCTCTCTCTCTCTCTCTCTCTCTCCTTCCTCTCTGTAGGAATAATTGGAAAAAATATTTTAGCTCTTAATTGTTAGATAATTAATGATAGGCGTGTCTCTCGATGTGATACATTTACATTAACTTCAGTAATATACCACGCTAGAGCATATATCAGTTAAATTTTTAATTCGCGCTATAGACACTCTACATGTGTTCTTTTATTTAAAGACATTCTGTTTATAAATTTATATCATTCGATTGTACACAAGTACGTCTGCAATTGAGATGTACGGGTGGACGCTGCCCAATAATAAATATCGTCGATATAAAACGAAGCGCCTGCATACAACCGACGCATCTGCATTTCACAGGCAATTACGCGCAGCTTGCTAGAAATTTCAAAGTCAGCCTTTTTACAGCAAAGTGCAAATACAATTCCCACGGATGCCGCAGTGAAATCGATGGTGACGCTTTGCTGAGACTACGCCGGGGTAAACGCAACGGAAGTAAGAGGAGATGCAGGAAGAAACTAGGCCACTAGAGCGGAGATAACAAGAAACCGATATGAAAGGGTTGAACACTTTCAAAGAAAGAGATATCAATGGATATGATTTTCAAAATTTTTACATTCAGATGGTTCCTTGGTCATTTGTAAGAAGAAATTTATTTGCATCAATGTCTTTAATTCGACGCACGTCGAATGTATATCTACAGTTCACTCACGATTCGTGTATGAAACAGAAGTAATATTGCTTGGCGAAGCATGTCCGCAGAAAATTGCTCATATGTCCAGCTATAATTTTATTTATATGCGTATATTGACATTATGATACTTAACTCAGTATGTTATTGAAAAAATTACTAGTGACTGTAGACAAATACATATACGTGTGAAAATGAATATTTCTTCCAAAGTAATATCCTCTTTCAATTTATGACTGATTAGGAAGCAATGTAATTTCTAAGAATTTGCTCTTTTTACGAAGAATAATAAAAAATTAGTCATTGAAAAATAGCAGAATTATAATTAATTAACTATTACAATAATTGGGATATAAATTGGATATAAAGTATAACTGCGTTGTAATTGAGTATATTTTTTATTTGTACCGATTTATAATAAATCATTTTTTAAATCATTTTTTAAATTATTTTTTTTTAATTATTTGAAAACCTTATTACTTTATAAAATACATTATTATTATCTTTTGTTTAGTTTATAAAATCCATTACTACCTCTTGTTACTTTATAAAATATTATCTCTTATTACTTTATAAAATACATTATTATTATCTCTTAGATCTTTACTTACTATGAAACTTTACAGAATTAATGATGAACTCTAAAGACAGTTTTCTGGTCTACAATAAAGTTTAGAAGGAAAATACGCATTAATTTACATCCTACAAAATGTATTGTATTTTTATTTTTACATATTATTTTTCTCTCTATCTCTTTCTTTCTCTTTCTATTCTTTCCTTCTCTTTCTTTTTTTTCTGTTCTCTCTATCCATTTATCTCAATTGACTCTTCCTGTCTTTGCCTAACGATAACGTAAAAATAACGATTCTTTTCTTCTGGAGAATCGATAAAGCGCCATTGAAATAGAGGATATGCTCTCTTGAGAATAGAATCTCTATACCGTTTTATTCTATTTTATTTAATCCGATAACCGGTAATATATTTCGTGTAACATGAGCTATTTATTATTATATAATCAAATTAAAAATTTTTGTGCAATAGAAAAATAACATTTACGTTATACAAAGTATTTTTTGTCCCGAATTATTGTTATGATACCTATGGTACGAAACCATAATCTCTCACGGTATGTACCATGATTACATTTCTGTTAAACTCTGATTATATCAAGCGTTCTATATTTTAGACAGAATTTCCATCAATCAATATTGCAGCATTTCCATGCTCTGAAGTGAATATTATGCGTGCTTTTCAAGCAGAGATTTCTTTACTAACATATTTTCGAGTATTTATACTTGAAAAATAAAATAATAGAATACATAGTCATAATAATGTATATAAATTGAACAAAACATTTTTTTAAAACTCTTCTTAAAAAATAAGCTAACAGAAAATTACAAAAATGACAAAGTTTTCAGTATATTACATATGTTACGCAATAATATAGCTTGTTAATAGTAATATGTAAGAATGATATTAAGAGTAATAACCTAATCTCTTGCGATTACATGCGTTCATTCTTCCGAAGATAGTTAATTTTAGACGAATTGAAGCAAAACTATGAACCTTGATTTAATGAAGCGCTTCGTCTATAAATTATAATTTATCGGATAATCGATGAACTATAGACGAGCCATGAAGAGACTAAACCGACGATGATAAACTTCGATGATTGTACGCTCAATTGAAAATCTGTGTTCAATCCATACATATTTAACTTTGTTGAACTCTGATAATACGCCAATCAAACTTCCGGATTCATATACTTGTTTACATGGAAATATCGCGTAAGTAATAACGGAAATTGCTGTTGCGCGTTTCAGGAAACATGGTGCAGACGATGGTGGCATATCTCTCAGAGGAGCATCTCCCTGTCGGCCAATTCCTACTCGCCAAAGTTAAATCCACTTCTGATGAAGCAACTAAAAGAGCCTAAAGCCACGGAAAGAGAAGTGAAGAAAACTGCAAGGGTTACGTCAGCGGAAAAAGTGGAGACCGAGAGCATCGGTGAGATACCTGTGTTTATCCCATTTATTAAAACTGAACCAACAAATATATTGCTTATATAACGCTTGTAAAATTATTTCTTTTTTGGTTTTATTTCGTGGCAAGATTAATGTAAACTTGAAAAAAAAGTTTGCAGGATCTCTATCCTAATATTCAATAGACTTACAGAGTGACAGAGTCTTGGCTACTAAGTTTTGTGTTCATAAAATCGTTAATATTATAATAACGCACATTTAAAACAAATTCTACACTGTTAGTTATATCTTGTATCGGGAATGCATCTTTCTAGGGATAAATTCTTCCAGACAGCAAATAGAGTGATCTTCAGTTTATCATTCAATGAAAATTTTTTGGTACAGTCTTTTTAGTAATTAATAAAACATAACTAATACTCTCTTAGTTTATTATATATACGTATATACATATATGCATATATATTACTATTTAGATAGCAAGCTGATTATTTATCGTTATTTTGGCGTAAAAATGATGTTTTTAATATACCATTTTTTATGTCAAAATGACAATCATAACATCACATATCTTACTACCTGAGTAGTGATTTGATAAACACACAAACTTTTTTGTCATTCTGTAAAGAATGTATCTCCTTTAAGACTTTTCAAAAGAAATTCAAGTAACTTTATTTGCTCTAGTTGTTTAGTATATCTTTACTGTAATTTGTTCGATATTAGATAGATTTGTAATTAGTTACACGATGTACAATCTTAATGTTCTTGCAAGAATATGAAAATATTCATGCTCTTTATTAGCACATTTTTAAACATGCTGGTGCATCAATTATATAAATATACGATATGAGATATACAAATAATTCTTATCGTATTACATACATAACTAAAACATTAAATCATCAGCGTCTACTTACATTCTCGAACGAAAGGTTAAAGCGAGTGAGACACGTAAAGTAAATAAAACGAAGCATTCGTGAAGTTTTTCAATTCTGGATACAAAAAGCACGCTTTTTTACACGGAGAAACTGAGAAGTTTCATGATACTCTTTGCTCAAAGTCCAACGAGAACACTTACGCGAAGATCGGTTTACACAGGTCCATCATATCATATAAAGTTCGCAATGTACACTTTATAGCACTGTTTGGTCTTGCAATTTATGTATGCGTTTGACGCCGGATTCACACCGAAACTTTTATGATTTTTGCATTTACTGTGCTACATACACCTCAAGATAAATCAATAATAATTACGCCGTTGTCTTAATAAGCAAATTGAAACATTGTTGTACTTAAATAATTATGTATTTATAACGCGTATGACAAAAATTATTTTGAGAACTTTTTGTTAATAGTGTTTTTTTATTCATAGTAATAACGAAACATTATTCTAATATTGTATTCTAATATTGTATTGTCAGTTTAACGTTTGAAAACTTGTGGTAATGTTATTTAACGCAAGTCATCATGAATTCATTAAGGCATTCCTGACTACATGATGGATCCTTGCCAAGACATTCCTTGAAGTCTATGGTAATTAAATCTTCAAAAAAATCGATAAATCAACACTTCCACAAATACATAATGTTGAAAATAACATCGCGTGGTCTGCCGTCAATGTATCATTTGACTCGAGACTTGCGTTTCGAAATATGTGATATTTACAACGGAGTTTTTATGATCTAGTTTTTATTCTGTTCTTAGCTCAGCGAGATGGTTTGAATATAGATTGCAGAGTAAAAAGTTTGGAATAATTACAACATTTTTTGGTGTAAATTTATGTTATAAGAGTAAAATCGAAAGATCTCTATTTAATTTCAATGATAAATGAACACTTAATAATTTGTATAATTTTTTGGAAAGAGAAAAAGAAAGAAGAATAGTAAAAATATAAATAAGATTATTACATATGATTATTTATTACACATTTAGTACAAATTACATCGATTATTACATCATTCATGTGTGCTTTATGTATTATATGCAATAGTACATAC